AAATGAAGTTAGAAATGTTTTTTAAGACAAATAAACAAAAACAACCCATATTTGTATAATAAACATTACCTTTTTTGCATAGCTATCGCGTTCCAAAAGTCACGTTCGGAAGCTTATGATAACCCTCTGTATTTAATTTCATAAAGTTATTTAATGATATCATCGCACGTCTTACTTTCATATGATGCTACTCGACCCCAAATGGGAAAGGTTAGGAACATTATGTAATGTCTAAGTTATTGTTTTACTTTCTAAAGATAAAAACTAGAATAATCAACTGTATAGCGTATCATTTCAGAAAATGTAGCAACGTACCGCTTCAAATAAACTTCCATTAGTCGTGTAATAAATAATAAGAAAAATGCAAATAATATTTATATAAACACAAATTTAAACTCATATAGCTCATTTACTTTTAATGAACGATAATTGCTCACTTCTACAGAATTAATCTTTGCAGCTATATCATATTGCATCATTTTCATTTCATCATGTATTTTTAATAAATTTTCATCAAGCTTTCCATCGTAATACTATCATCATCATCTGAATCATTGTCATTTGATAATTGACTACTAATTATATCATCAAATGATAATGATTTATGAGATTTCCTATATTTGTCAGCTTTATCCAGCCATAGAGCTTGATATTCAGGAGTTCCAACATAGTAAATATATCTCGGATTTCCTCTACGATTACCAGTTGGTTTTTCTAATTATTCATAATCAGCGATTAATTCAGCTCTATAACATAATACCGCTAACTTTCCATTTTTACTTGCTTAGTCATATACACCCGTCATAAACGCAATCAACAAATTCTGCATGATGATGACCAATAAAATACTTGCGACTAAAATAAAAAAAAAGTTTAACAACATCTTTAAACACGATCATATATCAGACATGAAATATCTACCTATACTGATTACGTAAATTGGCCAGAAATTCCATTCCGTTAATTGATCCCATCTTCCAAGGATCCAAATATAAACTCCCGTAATAGAATAACCCAATGACGCATAATAATCATCTGTAGGTTGATTATCTTCAAAGTATTGTGTAAAAGTCATGTTTTCAATGCTGTTAGGTTCCAACCTAAAGTCTTTAGGATTTTGTAATATTATATGCTAATTATTTTCGCATTATTAAAAGAAGAATAAGTGGATTTTTTTATAAAAGTTCACATTATATATTAATAAAAGTAAATTAGATAAATTCATGACCATACATACCATTGCAACGGTTGCCATTAACTACATAATTTTTTAGAACCAATTAATTATCATATGCTCCTTCTTATAAAGATATAATTAAAAATTTACCATAAAAATAATGAATGGCCAAATAGATTTATAATATTTATAATTATTCTAATATAAGTTGCAGTACCTTTAAATAAAAAAAATTATTTTCATGCACAAATTAATTCATATAATATCATTAATATATGAAAATAACAAAAATATCTACCCTTAAAGTATCGCGTCAGCAATATCTAGATCAATATATTAAGAATTTATCATCAATAAATATTAAAATTTTAATTCAATAAATATAATACTTACTAATTCAAACCATAAAAGTAAGACCGCAAACGCTTCTGGAAAAATTGTTCTTTTATTTTCATCTGGATCTGCATAATCACTAATATGTAATAGTAACAAATACAAGAATAATTGTTGCAAGTTCAATAATATTATATATTCTAAAATATCTTTTAAATTTTTCGTGCTTAAATTGCAGAAATTCCGTGGCTAAAAGATAATACCCAGTATAAAAAAATAAGAATAACGAAATTGAAATTGTAGTTTGTCTATTTTCATTTTCGATTATTCCAGTAATCAATGCAAATGTGAGGAAAAAAGACTATGAATAATAAAAAATGAAGTAATAAATGATTTCTCGCTGCTTTCCATTTAAAATCAATGCATGCTTCCATTGTTGGATTATCATATAATTCATCTAAAAGTCCTTTTTCATTTTTTCTTATAAGTAATAGAAAAGAGCTAAATTCATTTTTGTCATGAACAAAATAACCTCCTGGCCAAAATATAAGTTTAAAAATTTTTAACCAAGGATAATATACTCTTTTTGTCGCATTCATTGAATAAACGGTAAAATCTGGCAACGGAACTAGCGTACTGCCGTTACATGCGTAACCTCTTCCTCTGTTAACTTTGATCTTCTTTTAAGATTCTTCGACTTAAATGTATCCCACAATGTAGACTCTTTTTGCTTCAATAAGAGTCGTGGTCTCACATTTAATGAACAAATTTCCGATTTATATCCTTTTTTTCAATTTACTTTGATCAATAAATTTTGAATCAACAAGTTCTACAATGGATCCAAAGTAAGGTTTGTAAAATAACTATTTTAAATAAGATACTGTGTTTTAATGATGCAAATATTTTCTTCAGATAAGTATTAATGAAGAACAAAACCAACCACGTAGTGGGGAAATGTACTTTTACATACCAAAATTACGATTGTTAAGTAAAGGGAGAGCCTTTGTCAATGTAAACATCCAACCTATCGGAAAATGTCATGTTAATAATAAATTTCAGATTTGTATGAAACTAATTAATTAATGGGTAGATAGAAAACCGGTATCTTTTTCCGCATTATTTGAATAGTATTCGAGTAACATTACTACGATAGTTTTATCCATACGATTTTCACCTGAAGATTGTTCAATAGCAAGCTTCAAATCACTTATATTCTTTTCCATAGGCCATTTGTATTGACTTGGAACATGCAAATAACGACTAATTCTCGTTTTATCTTTATAAACGAATAATATCTGATGCAACAATGACAAATTCCTTGATCGGATGATATTGGCCATAATGTCATATCGAACTTCAGACAAACTCCATAAATTCGAATTATCTTTGATACATTTTTTAATGAGATTTTCGGTGCCTGCAACCAAATCTTTGTATAGATTTATCGGCCCTATAATTTTGTCACTTCGTTTGTGTAGATACTCCATAGCAACGCACGCGTCTTTGAGGATATGAGCTTCATTTGGCCAATGAATATTTTCTACGACTGGATTAGCGGAAATCTCTGAAGGCCATGACAAATCTAAAGAAAATTCGCAATTTCGAATCTTTAAAGAATCAACTTTAATCATTTGGTCACTCGGATTTACCCAAATATATTCTAAAACTTGTTTAGTATTAGACTTATATTTCTTTTTCTTCCAAATATGAACTGTAGTCTATTCAATTAAAAGTTCAATTGTTTGTTGTTCTTCATCAAGATAACAAGGTTTAGGTATATCATTTATATCGTTAAATACTTTAAAGTCATGTTTCAATGTATTTATTTGATCTTGATTAATGGTAATTGGAGGAACCACAGAGGTTACAACTCCATTTATAGATGCAAGTATTATTCCACTTGAACAAACGATTGAATGATGATTAAACTTTTGTAAGAAATTGAAAATGTCTGAATAATTGACAAATATTTCATCATTTTTAAAGGTAAAAAGATCTCAAATCCTTATATTAGCTTCATTCGCGTCATTCTCATTCTCAGTGTCTTTGTCGACTACGAATAATCTTTCATCATTTTCAATAAATGAAATAAAAAGGATGTTGTTTGCATCATCAAATTCTTTCCTCGCAACCTTAAGTCCATTTTCCATTAAATAGATCGTAATACACCTATTACCATTATAGTATGCTAACAAATGGCCATGTTTTGAAATGGAAAAAATAGAATTTTTCGCTTTTTTTAAAAGAGATATTTCAAATTTCAATTCTAAATCCATAGATTGTAGATCATACATCCCGAGTAATTGATATTTATAATCTTCAATAAATAAAAAATTTTGTTCAACTATAGAATTTAAAAAATTCGCACAAGCTAAGCCATGATATAATTTATCAATTTTCATTTGAATGTTTGTTGGAAATTCATATTCTTCCGCAACCAAAGATCTTTTAAATATTGATCGATCGATACCAGAAAGATTTTTATGAATGATGTTTGCTTTTGCAATACCAGAAGCGTTCATTACAATTATATTAATGGATCCGTTCGATTGATCGGCTTCTTTTGCCGAATTGTTATTCAAAAATCGAACGACCCCACTGCGCTTGTCTACAGTAGTTCGATACGGTCTTTTAATATTGTCGAATTGACAAACGTTTCTGCTGGAATATCTGTCCCAAACTCATCCCCCTTTCAGGATCTGGGGGATTTATTGAAGTTTCTCTCAAACCATCATCATTATTTTCGGCAACTTTTTTCATATCTTTATCGCAAAAACGTGATAAAGCTACGAATACAACTAAAACATTTCCGACTTTTGCGTAATTGGAAATGGCCAAAGAAAAGTTATGTAATTGTTAAATTTCATTTTATCATAATTTATTTCAAATGAAAATTAGATTTGAACTTTATTTCATGAGTTTCTAAGTTGTTAACTTCGTTTTTAATTTCTTGAAATTCAAAATTGTCAACGTCGTCGTTTTTGTTAAATTTATAAGGTTTTAATTCTTTAACGTTGTAAATTATAATTTCATAAGTTTCTAAACATAAATCAGGCGAATGAATAAAATAAGTGACTAAATTAATAACTTAAACTGAAAAAGAAATATAAGTTTTAAAATTCATACTAGCATTAAAAGTCGCAGCAAGAGCCCCATTCGAACTTATAGCTAGTAAGTGGACGAACTATCATAATCCAATTTATATGAATCCGATCTTGAAGTATATATTAAACCTAGATCTGTCATAACTGAAATGTTTAATCAGGATATAGGATAAACAGTATGCGCTCGTGAAGGGTATATTTATAAGAATTTCCAAAAAAAAAAAAATATAATTATGTTGATAATCTCGGTATCATTTGTATTTGAGTTTATCATTTTAAGAATAATGTCGTTTTATCTAAAAAAAAAAATTATTGTTCGTTCGTGATAATGATCGAATAAGGAAATTTAGAAAGCTTTTTTGTGTGGCCAACGATATCTAAACATTTATGACAGAAATACAACAAAAGTGAGTAGGATTTTCTTTGTCATCGAAAAATAACAATCACGATAAAATCATTTAATTATTAATTAATTATTTCTTTTTGAAAACCTCTGTTCAACTGTCAATCATGATCGAAAGGGTCGAATCGGGTCGGGTTTGAGGATGTACTCGGACTCGACCCGTTTACAAAAACCAACCCGTACAAATACTCGGGTTAATATTTATATAATCCGACCCTGACCCGGCCTGATATAGTTTAACCCCCGGATAACCCGGGTCAAATAAAAATTTTAACAAATTTATTTATGATCAGCAAGACAATAAATAGTATATTTAAAAAAAATAATAAAATTAGATTATAATAAAATTAAGTGAAAATAAAAATAACTATATTCTAAAGGATTTGGTTGTAAATAAAACTGAAATTAGCGTCAGCTGGTCTTTTTCAAAGTAATCATCGTAATCCTATATTATATTAGGATCAGATCGATTTGTATTTCTCTGATTTGCTTTTGATTCATATAAACAAACAGTAAAACGATCATCATTCTTTTTCTTAAAGGTTGATTGCATTTCTGAAAAAAACGACCCTTCTGGTATAGATCACTTAAAGGAGAAGTAGCTCTTCGTTCATCTAGTCCCTGCCTTGCAAATTGTTTAAATTTTCCATTAATTACTTGCCATAACTTATATAGAATTTCTCTTGATTTAATATATTTACTTGATGAATTACAGAATGTTCAGATAAATGTTATGCAATAGCATATACTTCAACTTTGACAGATTGTGCTTTATAATCTTTACTATTAACTGTTATATTGTTATAATAAATTTAATGATTTGTTCTTCAAATTCCTTATTGTTATCAATTTCTTCAATTTTTCCATTTAAATTTATATCTTTTCAAAATGTTTCTATTTGCATAATCCAGTTGTTGATAGACTTATAAATTGAAGAATAATGGCTAAAACTAATTATTGCTTGTATTTCTTTAGTACTGGATTCACTATATTAAAAGATGATTAAATAAAAATAAAATTTAAATATTGTTAAATATTGTTTGAAAATAAATAACTTTAAAAGATAATGCATACCTTTACAAATAGTTTTTGTTTTACTTTTAACATAATAAAAAGTGCATAAAAGGTAAAAGGAAGAGAGAAGAGAAAAAAAGTAAAATTATATTTGTCATGATCAGAACTAAATAATTATATCATAACTTCACAAGTAATCATTGATAACTTAAGATTTTATTACTTATATGACAAAATTCTATCCAATTAAATATACTAATTATCAAAAATTACCTGTAAAGTTACTATCAATTATACTACAAAAATGATTAATATTAATCAAAGTATTCATTTATATTATGTAATAATAAATTATAACAAATATTATAAAAAGAACAATTAAAATTTTCATATCTATTAAGCTAACTATTATTCAAGTTAATCACAAATCTAAAAACTATAAATTAATATTAGATCAAATGTTAATAGATATAACTATGTAATCTAATAGAATATTGATAGTAGAATATTAAATTAATGCATAATTGCTAATTATAATCTGATCATCATATCAATTGTGATACATTTGTCTAGACCATCAAAATTAATTTATAATACCAGTTACTAAATATTTGTAATCCTGATAACTAAATATGATTTAATAATAATAAATAATAATTATTAATATTATGTGATGAAAGAATACCAGCTAGAGGATATTGTTTTATATTTATAATGTCAGTTGAAAAATATTATTCTATATATAATATCAATTTCTAATTATAATTATTAAAAATATAATTATATAATATTATAAAAATATTATAAAAGTATTATAATAGACTACTAATAGGATTTATTGATTGATTTTAAACTATTCATTACACTAGTCGAAATAGTCCAAATTGGCTAAAAATCAGATGGCCGATTTTAGGCTAATTTTGATACTATTTATGGCTGATTTTTCATATTTTCCAATTGGCACAAACAGGTACCGATAGATACTGATCGACCCCAATCA